GATACCCACTCATCATCATCTAAGACCGTCAACCCTCAGAACAGATGGTGATTTTGCTTTTCCGGACATTCGCCAAGGACATTTCGAAACGGATAAAACCTTAAAAATGCTTCTGTCGTGAAAATCGCTGAACTCATAATCCTTTAAAAAAGCAAAAGTAACCTGGAAGTGCTAGCAGGTGACCACCACGTGATGCAGCATTGGTCAAAGTGGCTGAATTTACCAGCTGTATGTAATTCGAAAGCCAACTACAGTATGAGGCTGACGAAATATCAGAGTTCAGTATTCTGCAGTAGCCCATGGCTATTCTATGGCCGTAGAAAGCAAGAAAGCGCTTAAATACGGATTGGATCAGTATATATGCGTCTGAGAGCAGTTCTACGCGATACTACACATGACGCTTTCAGTACCGTATAACGTGGCTCCAAGTTATAATCCCCGGAGGCGTTTCTCGACAATGTCAAGCCGACGGTCGTTAAGCCAGGCGTCACTGTGTAGCAGCGAATATCGGGCACTTCAACAGCAGGTTGGTAAATTTGCTGTTCTTAGCTTAATGTTTTGATCAGCTGTTGTTTCATCGTAGTTTTTCCGCTCCGTTGGTGCAGCTGGCAACTTCTCCATTCTTCTTCGTTTTGAACTTCTTTCATTTACAAAATTCCGCCTTGGTGTTCGAGCGGATCCTTCCAGTGCATTGGCGACCTCCCCTGTGTTTTTTAACGTTGCGTGAGCACCGTCTTGCTTACCCATTTCCTTATTAGTGCTATTTGTCCAAATCAGCTGATCTTGTTGACACTTCAGACTAAATTTTTCAGAAACTTTTATCATGTCTCACTTTTTTTAAGAGATAACAACACACCGAATTGACACAGCTAATGGAATTGCGAGTGTTTTGCCAGAGATGACCACTCGTTAGCGTCTGACAATAATTTCTCTTCATAGACTGGGGACAGACTTCCACAAATTTTTGTAAGGCAGCCTGAAGGCAATATTTGACTTGCTGAAATCTCCCGAGTGACAATCTTTCTTCTTCTCCTTGAATATTCTGGAATGCTCTGGCTACTTGACTCTACTGGACACGAAACTAGAATTTTAAACTTATTAGCAAAACGAATCATAAAGTCATTAAGAAAATGGTTCCCTCATCAGAAAAAACAGTTGGGACTTGAGAAAGGATGCTGTCTCTCACTAATTCAGTAACTCAGCAAATCCTGTGTGATTTTTGTATTCGAGAAAAAATTTGTACGCGACCACATTACAGATACCACCGAGCCCAACTCCAAGCCGTATGTCGATGACGAGCTACAGCACATGTCCGGAACCGAGCACTCTTGGACATGCGGTCATGCGACGCTATCCAGTTTATTCGACACAGCCTACCGATGAAATGAAGTAAGTTTTTCTGTAGAGAAAATTTAACACTTTTATGTTAAATTTTGTAGTTTCAAGACATGCGCATCTGCTCTATTTTCTGCCTGGAGCAGTTTGGTTAGCGAGAAAAGGACGATTTTTAACTGTGGGCAAGCGCACAGACTCTGATGAAATTTTCTGATACTTTCGGAACTTCCGGCACCGATTCGGTGATATAGATTGAATCGACAGGATGCACAGGATGAAGGCGGCAATATTTCCGGAAATTCGGGCTTCGATTCGGTAGAGTAGACTAGGACACAAAGGATATTTACCCATACTAGTTATTTGTAGGTACCAGCGGTATAGCTCAAAGTATTCCGAAAGAGGGCAAAGTGCTCCTCTTTTTAGGAGTGCCTGAGATAAATTTTTGCTCTTCGGAGAATCAACAATATTTTGACAATTTTTTTATTAAATTTTCTTGATGGCTCAAATGTATGGAAAAAGTAGCGAGTACTAACCGAAGGCGCTCAGCCCATGATTAAAGGGTCCGACACAGGCCTGGCACATGGGAGCATCCCAGTAACATCACTAATATGGAATACAGACAGTGCTGGCCGGACGATCTTGGTATTCCTAGTATAAGCAATTTGCTATTTTAAAATATCGTTACGGTACTGCTTTACTAAAATTTTGAAACGTTTTGTTAAAATATCTTATGCTGAATTTCGCTACAACGCATTGATTTCATTCCATTC